AAGCTCGCCGTAGAGCTGAAAGGGCTGCTGTTGAAAAGGCAGCTGCAGAGGCCCGAGAACGAGCTGAAAGGGCTGCAGTTCAGAGAGCACAGGCTGAAGCCCGTGAAAGAGCAGCAGCTGAGGCCAGAGAAAGAGCAGAAAGGGCAGCTGCAGAAGCCAGAGAAAGGGCAAATGCAGAAGCTAGGGAGAGAGCAGCTCTGTCTGAAGCAAGGTTTAGAGCAGAGCAAGCTGCTGTGGAGAGAGCTGCGGCGGAGGCTCGAGAAAGGGCTGCTGCTGCTACAAGGGCTAACCAGCAAAAGAATGACAATGATCTTGATTCCTTCTTTAGCATGGGTCGAGCAAGCAGTGCCCCAAGGCCAAGAGCTAACTCTTCAGTGAGATCTACTGTTGCCATCTTTGTATTCATCAACCAATTTATTGCTGTAATGTAAGATATACCCTCTCACCTTTTTTGTAATATGTTCTTTCAGGATCCTCTTTTTGATATGCAGAACAAGGCAGCACCTGAAGCAGCCAGGGGAACATCTGTTGGGTCCTCATCCAGCCTTAGGAAAGCATCTTCAGCTGCAAATATTGTTGATGATCTAACTTCAATATTTGGAGGTATCTTCAATTTTGAAATGCAATAATAATAGTTTATAGAACAGTAAAATGCATTTCTTTTATTTCATGAGTAAATAATTGACTGTACTTTTTCACTTGCTGAAGCTGCTGTATCATCTGCTGGAGAGTTTCAAGAGATTGAAGGGGAAAGTGAAGAAAGACGAAGAGCCAGGTTGGAACGCCATCAAAGAACTCAAGAGCGGGCGGTATGTTGTGTCGCATGGTTTTAGTCTTTATTCTCCCGTCCCATTAGGAGGATTATGTGCACACTTTAAACTCTTTGCTGGCCCCAGTTTATGTTCTGAGTTTGTATGTTCAGGCAAAGGCATTGGCTGAGAAAAATGAGCGTGATCTTCAAGCTCAGAGGGAACAAGCTGAGAGACATGTAAGTAGCTGCTTTTAAGTTTCCACATGCTTCTGGCTGTTCCTTGTTCTGTTTTTCTATAGCCATTATTAATATGCTTGTGTATGTATCAATCATTGGGAATTCATTATTATCTCTACATACTTTACTCTCTTAAACTATGGTGCCCTACTGCCTCTGTTTTATGCAACGGCACTACTCTGTAATTTGATATGTTTCTGTGCTTTATTCTTGTTTTTGTTCTCTATTTTGGTTCTCTATTTTGACCAGTAAATTGGCAATGTTTTCATCTATTGTTTAAGATATCAACGAAGGTATTTTTCTTAGTTTCTTTGTGTATATAGTATTTTACAGTTTGCTGTGTTGGCTGGCTTTTTGCCTCTTTTTAGCCCTTGTCCAGGTAGATGTTTCTAATTTGAAGGGAAGAAGAGAAGTGGGGGGCAGGGATTGTAAATTTATAGGCAGCCAGGGACCATCCCAATTTAGACTGAGAATAATCTTCCAAAGGTGTTGACCCTTTGTTGTTCTTAATATGCCTAACATGTTTACTGAATTGCATGGTTAGACAAACTTGGACACGATAATAACTTAACCATGTATTACCTAACTTGGCCTAAGCCTAGTTGGGTTTGTTTCACAAGTTAGAAGCCTAGGCTAAAAATGTAGTTTTTTATTCTAGCATAGGGTTGTGTTTTGCAAGAGCTCAGAGATCCTTGTAGATGGGTTAGGGTTTCAAAAATTATTAAACCCTTGGTTAACTTAGGTTAATATTCAATCTGCCCCAAGTCTCACATTTTGCTTTCCTTGTTTCAAGAATTTTGATTTGAATAGCATCTTGACCATTGAAGTTCTGTGAGGATATGTTTCATAATCTCCATGTGTGTTTTTAGTTTTTTAACTTGAAAGTTGAAAATATATGACCTTCAACTGTTTATTTCATTCTGTTGTTTGTCTGATGCTGTTCTGCTCTGATTTCAGAGGATTGCTGAAACACTAGATATTGAGATCAAGCGTTGGGCTGCTGGAAAAGAGGGAAATTTACGGGCTCTGCTATCAACATTGCAATATGTACGTTGTTGTTAGCATTATTGTTTGCCCTTTTTTGCCTACTGTTTTACTTAGAATAGAAGTCAATATAAACGTGTTAATTATTATGATAAACTTTTATTTGTTGCATTGGCATTCTGCTGTCGGTGACTTGCAATTTTCTTTAATAAATTGGTGCTTGTAACTAGGAATTTAGTGGGGGAGCTTTAACAAGACAAATATAAACCTCTGTCATACACATCCCATAATGATCAACAGTAAGGACACAGCTCTTATCATTTGGAATTTGGACTGAGCAGTTGGGGCCTTTTATTTATTGAGGACTGCTTTGGACACTCTCTAACCTTCTGCTACGAGCATTGTCTAATCTTCTACAAACACTCTTTATGATTGGGCCACATGGTGCTAGTTTTTTTGTGATTAGTTCTAACTTATGAATTTTAAATGTTGACTTTAATTACGTATCACCAACCGCAGAACAACCATGTGTACTGTGACTCAATCATAGAGAGTGTTCACATGAGTTTCAAAGGGACTATAACTAGCATTTCTGTTATTATATAAGCATCTACTGCATAATCTTTTCAAAACCATGACATCCTTTGATTTATTTAGAATGATCCTAGCGTCAAGATAAAATTGTATGTTTATGAATATAAGAAAAATAAATCTACTTAACCCTTTTTTTGCTTGAATTATAATTCTCCTTTAAACTAATTTTTAAATTTCAAGATGTTCCCTAAATGTAACTCTCTTATCTTTGTCATGCACACATAACTTACATTTCATGCGTAAATGCATGTTAGAGCAACTGTTTGAAGATTCCATTTGTGTTTCAAAGTTCAAATAAGATAATTACTATGGCCTGCAATCTTCTAATTTGGCAGTTTCATTCCTTTTTCAGCCAAGTATCCTTTACCACTTGAGTTATTGTACTGATTTTCTTATTTTTGATTTTATCACAAAACTTAAGTTACTAATGGCTGATAAGGTTAATGTTTAATCAATTTATCCCCTAACACAGGATTTTGTTCTTGGACAAGTAGGTGCTTTGGCCTGAATGTGGCTGGCAGCCTGTTTCTTTGACTGATTTGATAACTGCTGCAGCAGTTAAAAAAGTTTACAGGAAAGCAACTCTATGCATCCATCCTGATAAAGTGCAACAGAAAGGTGCCAACCTTCAACAGAAATATATTGCAGAGAAGGTTTTTGACTTGCTCAAGGTACATCTTCAGTTTTTTGCTTGAAGCACTTCATTGTGTGCTGGCAAAGTGCCATGATACTAACTACTCTAATTCATTAGACCTTATTCACTTCCCCTCAGTATTCGCGTTGCTCTTATGTCTAATAGGAAGCATGGAACAAATTCAATTCGGAGGAGCTCTTCTGAAGTTCTTTGGGTGGTAATTTAGCTCAAATTCCATGGCTTGGCAAACTGATTATTGACATTTGCAATGGCTGAATATTCCAGTGGCTAGACAGTCAATCTACTGCCGTTGTCTGCTTCAATTGATGGTTTATATATGGTATCAGCAGTTAATGGAGGCTTAAGACCATTGTACAAAATAGCCGCTGAAATTACTGGAAGGGTGAAGGACTCTTGTACGGGTTGATGTACATTAACTTTCATCCAACTCACACACGTGGAAGTTAGATTGTACTTGTCGGGTGTGGATTATCATTCAGCAAATCAGTTGGGTTATATGCCTTTTGCGTCATCTCGTGAGGGTAATTTTTGTGTTGATTATTCTCTACATTCATTTTTTATGGGTGTTTTTGCCCTCTCTTTTGTGCCGTGGCAATAGAGATTGAAATGTTGATTGCATACCGATATGTTTTGTTGATATTAATGCAGTCTGAGCAATTTATGATTTTTTGTACTGCAATGTGGAAACTCTGAGGCTTCAATGCTTGATAAATGAACTTGGGCCAAAAAATGCTCGATGAACGTTTAAACGTTACGGTTTTATGGGTGTGGTTTTATTTCCACGAACAAAAAACAATCTCATCATCCTGATATTTGATTCGGCAATAGAATATGGTTGAAATCTGATGCGAAAAGATTTTCCAATTCAAAGGGTCAGTGTGTTTCAATTTCTAGCGCGCCAAAGAACAAAATTATAACTTTTTTTTTTTCTTTTGGGCACATTGGAGCTCAATAATCAGCTTAAAATCCAAAGGCCGGAACCGCTAAAGTGTCACCATGGAGAATCATCCGACCGAGAATTATTCGAATGCCTGCTGAAGGATTGGAAAAGTGGGTTGTGCCTAGAGCCTGTGGGCAAGTGAGGTGGGAAAGGCTGCAGCTGAGTTACCTTCCCTAAGGGTGCGTTGAACAACACAGCATTGAAAGAGTCAAGAAGTGAATATATATCAGTGAGTAGAACTGAAGCACTGCCCTTCACCTCCTTACGTGCCAGGATTAACTGAATGGTCAAACAAAGAATCCATCTCCAAAATCAAAAGTTGAATCCCAAGATGTTGAGCTAACCATAGTCCTTGGTGATGAAAACTGGATCAGATCGGACGGTTGGACCAGTTGAACTAGTATCAAATAGCCTAAATAGATTGGGTGACCACTTAAAACTGTTTGGGTGATTAAACCACTTGAAACCATTTAACTCGTTCAAACCATCATGAACAGGTGAATCATTCAATTAGACGATGTAATACTTGTGATAAAAATCCTAGATATTTGTCCCAATAAAAGTTGAACATGCAATCTCAAGTCTTTAATTCAATCATTTGCCATTAGAGCAATAAACTCCTTTGTGACCTTTGTTGCTTGAAATATTATTTACTTTATAAGATTTCTCAAAGATTTAAAATAAATTGTTGAATAAATGGCATTCTAAAGAATGGAACTCCCATCATCCAAGTCATAAAATAAAACATCTTCCATTTAATATTAAATAACTTCTTAAACATTGATTTCTTTTAATTATATTTATTCTAAATAAAACTATGATATGGGACACTGGAACCTTCAACCTCCAAAGTGGAAAAACAATCTCTTCCCACAAAGGCCACCTTATTGCTTGTGAGATCATTTAAATAATCATATAATTATATAAAATTAGTGATTTTACCACTTAGACCATCCAAAATGGAAACTAGAGGTCAAAATGGTTTGACCTCTGGTTTGGTTTCAAAAACATTGTTAGCAAGGAAACTTGTCGTATAGTTAATAGTAACTGAAAAACCATGCACCTAATGACCTATGTGATCTTGAATTAAGCCTCTTGCACTAGCCTTACCATTGCTATGATCCATGGAACCATCTGTGTTCAACTTTAGAAAAAAGGGTTTAGGAGGCATCTATTTGCCCTATTTAGAAGCTCGAGAAGAAGACATTATGTTCATACTGGTAGCTAGTTGTGTATTTGAGGCCAAGGAGCATGCTTGCTTATAAACCGTACTTGGAGGGAGGTCAAAAATCAATTTATTTCTACTCTTTCAAAGATGCCAAATCATGGAGAGGAATAGCACAAACCGGTTTATATTTGATAGCAAGCCAACAACATTCACTTTTAGCCAACTAATAAATCTTAGATGAAAAAATAGGAGGTAATGAGCTCATTGATTCCCATGCAAGTTTAGAGAAATAGCAATCATTAAAAAGGTTGGTGAAGGGCAGATAGGAATTAGGGCCATATGTCTATCAAAGCATATTGAATTGGTAAGAATTCGACCTTGTCTCAACAACCAAACAAAGAATATGATCCTTTCTAAATAATTTAAGTGTCCAATCTAGCTATATTGTTTTGAATGTTACTGTGAAGAAAGTCCTTTAAAGCTAGTGCTTGGTAAATCCTAGTTAATTGTAAATTTTTCGTTCAAAAACTCATGCTAATAAATTTTATCCTCCAATTGACTAGCTAAAGGGATTCAAGTGGTAGAGATATGATTTAATGTCTAATATGAGAAATTCTATCTTAGCCGAGAGATATCCTATGACTTTTCCTTAGTGATTATTACCTCAATGTGTGTAGCTAAAAACTCGGGAGACAACAGAGATTGAGCATTGTCTAGCCACTTGGTATCTCTAACCCACACACCGTGCCATAACTTAATAGAGGAACCAAAGCCCACACACCACCTAAGACCCTAGTGAAGTACATCTCTACAATGTAAGATACATTTCCATATGGCTTTAAATGATGGAAGGACATCACTAGTTATCAAAGTCTTTACACATAAGCACTTCTGAGCAAGTGCTTGGCACCAAGGTTTGTTCTAATTAGAGAGAAGATTCCATCCTAACTTCACAATTTAGGCCTTGTTATTTTCACGTGCTGAATGGAGACCCAACCCACCTATGATCATTAGTAGGCAAACATCATTCCAATTTACTAAATGTGGCTTTGTTGATGTGATATTAGAAGCCATAAGAATTTTCAATTAAGGCTATCAATTGTCAAACATGTGCTAGCTAGTCATAAAATTATTTGCATAGTATAAATGGGAGTCACGGAGGTTACAAACAAAACAAGCACCATTTTGCTAACTAGACTCAATATATGTTGTTCCCAACCAGACAGTTTAAGCTACATTTTTTCCAAGATATACTTCTAAGTAACAGTATTCTTATGAACATGAATGATTGACACATTAAGATATAGTCCTAGATCATGTGCGAAGGGTACACTAGATATGGAGTTTAAGGCATTTTCAATTTGACCTTGGATGTTTGGGGACACATAGATTTTTGATTTCCCCAAATTGATGTCAAGTCCAAATACATTCGAAAACTCCAAGAGACATTCCAACACTACCTCAAAGCATCAAAATGTGAGGCCTCACAAAATAACACGAGAGTAAAAAAATATAGTTGAGAAAAGGTTAGCCCTCTTCTAGACACTTGTAATGGTTTCCATAGTTTTGAATTCACCTTGCTTTGAAACATATGAGAAAGTCTCTACATGACCACTATAAACAAATGTAGAGAGAGGAGGATCTCCTTGGCATATATAGACTTCTCTATGGCTAAAAATGAGGGAGTTAGCATTCCATAAGACTGAGAGTTGGGGAAACGTAATTGAGAACTATTAACACCAAAAAGTAAAAAGACGGTGAATGGAACCAAGCACTTTTTGACCAAGAATGGAGAGAGCTTATAATAAGGAGAATGAAGAAAAATAATCTACCCTCTAGGTTTAATCATTAGGGTATTTATAGGATACTACGTAGAGTTTCCCTAGATTTACAATTCTATTTGGGTTGGTGCTTGAACATCCTAGTTCTAATGGATTTTATTTTATCTTAATCTAAATAGAACTCTTTTTGAGCATGTCCATGTGTTTTAATTCTCGTGGGATTCAACTTTGGGTAAAAAATTTGCCCCCAATGAAGAAGTTTGAGTGTAGTGAAAACTTGCTTAATTTTCTTTCACCATAGGCTTCACAATAGGTGGGTTCCTTGCATAAAGTGCTATTGGGCTTGGTTCTGAGCTCTGCACAGGTTTTTCATGTAAAGCTTTGTACAAAGCTCTTTATTTTTACCAGCATGGATGGGGTTTAAAACCTCTGTTAATCATAGGTTTTGTGGTTCTCTATGTTTATGAGATTTTAAACCTTTGTTACAAAGGTTTTCATTTTTTACTGTAGCTATCTTGTTAAAAATCTTAACTAGTAAAAATCCTATGACATAAAAATCTAACTTAAGGAAACAAGAGTACAGCGTAGGTTTTCTCTTGTGCTTATAATGTTTGACACAGGTTTTGATAACATATGCTGCAAAAATTAAATATTTAATAGATCTTTTGTCGATGTCATGATTCTTTTGTACTTTGGTAGCTACGTCTTCTAGGTTTTTTTGTTTCTTATGCAAGCCCTTTACACACATGGTTCTCATTTATTGTCTAATTTGTATAGGCAACTTTATAGGTTCATAAACACCTATTTTTGCAGGATTTTATGCAATATTCCCATTTGTTAGCCATAAAGGTTGATTTTTGATTTTCAAAATTGGGGTTTCTCGAATCTTCCTCCTTCTTCCCCATTTATTTCTTTCTACTTCTTCGGCTTCCCTTTTTTATTTCATTTCTTTTCCTTTCTTTCTCTGATTAATCTTTTTCTTCCTTTTTCTCTACGGTTCCCTTACTATTTTCAAGTTTATGGTAGGGGATCTTTCCGATTCTATTGTCATCGATTCGGTCACCAGGGCCATAATTCAGATGGAGGTTGATCTTACTGTTTCTGGGTTTCTTTCAAGCTCAGCTTCTATTAGGTCTTTGGCTACTAGAGTGGGTACTTCCTCATCTCCCCTTTAATCAAAATATTTTGATATTTTTCATTTCCCTTGCAGTAGTGAATGAAAATTTATGGTGAAAGGTGCTTTACGTCATGTGAAGAGGACATTTTGCCTTTCCCCATTGAAATTCCTTCGATTTTGTCTTCAAAGGATGGAAGGTTTGGCCTTCCATTAGGTTCAGCAAAGGTTTTCTGTGACTCTGATAAGGTATCTTAGGTTTTACCAATAGTTGCGCTATTGGCGAGATAAGGGAGATTTAGTAGAAAACTCCAATGGACCCACAAGTTCCCCCCCCCCCCCC